GATAAGTGGTAGGTAGGTAGGTAGATAGGTAAGTAGATAGATATATAAGTAGGTAGGTAGGTAAATAGATAGGTAGGTAGAAGATAGATTAGGTAGGTAGGTAAGTAGATAGGTAGGTAGGTAGGTAGGTAGGTACTAGGCAGATAAGTGGTAGGTAGATTAGGTAGGTAGATAGAAAAGTAGGTAACTAGATAAGTAGGTAGAAGATAGATTAGGTAGGTAAGATAGATAAGTAGGTAGGTAGGTAGGTAGGTAGGTAGGCAGATAAATAGATAAGTAGATAGGTAGAAGATAGATTAGGTAGGTAGGTAAGTAGATAGGTAAGTAGGTAGGTAAGTAGATACGTGATAGATTAGGTAGGAAGGTAAGTAGATAAGTAGGTAGGTAGGTAGATGATAGATAAATAGATTAGATATGTAGGTAGGTAAGTAGATAGATAGGGAGGGAGGTAGATAGACAGACAGACAGAGATAGAGAGACAGACCAAGAGACAGACAGATTGATTGATTTTCCTTTTTGTCTTTCCCCAAAAATAAAACCAAAGTTTTGCATTTGAATTAAGCTCCTCTGTACCTTTAAAATAATTCAGTTCTAACAAACTCCCATCAAAACAGGGCATTTCAAACAGGGTTAATTCACCAGCACAATTAATTCTTATCACAACATTGCTCAGCTATTTTGTCTTTTAGAGGGAATTTGCTTATAAAAACCTTGTGGGAAAGTCGCTTTATCTCCATACAGAGGCTTTGTCCAAATTGCTGATTTGCCTTTTTTTTTTTTTTTTTGGCTTTTCCAAGCTGCTGAGTGACTTTAAGTTCAGCTCCTTTTTCTTACCCTCCGGTCTACCTCGCAGGGGTGTTGTGCGATTTAAAGGGCTAACCGACATCCAACCCAAAAAAGAGATGGAAAATGGAATAATTTCGTTTGAAAGAGAGAAAAAAGATATATGGATGGTTTTTAGCTGTGCTGGTCGCTAATGCCAAGAGGATAAACAGGTAATCCTCGACATATGACCACTTGTTTCAAGTTACGACGGCACTGAAAAAAAAGACTTATGACCAATTCTTGCATTTATGACCGATTGTCGCAATAATAATCATTCCAGTGTCCTTAAAGGGTCCTCCGATCAAGAGTTAGATGCTTAGCTATCTGCAAATTACACGTATTCCTCGAGTTACGATCAGAACTGAGCCCAACATTCCTGTTGCTAAGCGAGACCATGGTTAATTTGAGTTTTGCCCGGCCTTAACAACCTTTCTTGCCATAGCGATCAAGTCCATTGTTGCAGTCGTTAAGTGAGACACACGGTTGCTCAGCAAGTCAGACTTCTCTGTTGACTTTGCTCGTCAGAAGGTCACAAAAGGGGAATCACCGTGACCCCAGGAGATGCCGCAACCGTCATAAATAAGAGTCAGTGGCCAGGTGTCTCAGTTTTGATCACGGGATGCTGCAGCGGTCGTAAGTGTGAAAAACGTTCACTTTTTTTACTAGCTTCAAATGGTCACTAAATGAACCGTTGTTGTAAGTCGAGGACTATCTGTGTTTATATGACTGTCGCAGTGTTGTGGAGGGGGTGTCATGTGACCGCCCTTTGCGACCGTCCCAGCTGGCTTCCAGCAAGCAAAATCAATATGGGAAGCCCAATTCACTTAACAACCATATGGTTCACTTAATGACTCCCTTAGTTCATTCCATGACTTCATCTGGAAGGTTGCAAAATCACTTAGTATTGCTTAGCAATTGAAGTTCCCTTCCCAATGGTTGTCAAAAGTCGAGGACTACCCATAAGGCCAAATAAATACCCGCAATACCCTATTTTGCAATTTGATACTGGAGATCTCTGGCATTTGAAGTTAACCCCACACGACTAGTTCTCGACTTATGACCACAATTGAGACCGGAATTTCCATCCTTAAGTGATTCCCTTCAATTTTTAAATGAATCATGTGGTCATTAAGTAAATCCATCTTTCTCTATTGACTTTGTTGGTCAGAAGCCAGTTGGGAAGGACGCAAAAGGGGATCACGTGATCTCAGGACATCGTAACCGTCATAAGCACGTGCCATTCCATTCCATTCTATTCCACTCCATATTTTCTATTCTGTTCTGTTCCCTTCTGTTCCATAGTCTAGTGTAGTCCATTCCATATTTTCAATTCAATTCTATTGCATTCCATTCCATATTTTCTTTTCTTTTTTTTCTGTTCTGTTCTATTCTATTCTTTCCTCATTCTATTTTATTCTGTTCTGTTCTATTCTATTCTTTCCTCATTCTATTTTATTCTATTCTGTTCTATTCTATTCTCTATTCTATTCAATTCTATTCTGTTCTCTATTCTATTCTTTCCTTATTCTATTCTATTTTCTATTCTATGCTATTTTTATTCTCTTTCTATATACTCTACTCTACTCTACTCTACTCTACTCTACTCTACTCTATCCCATCCCATCGCACATTTTTTATTCTATTCTATTCCGATTCTGCTCTACGCTTTATTATCCCATCCTATCCTACAAAACCCTTCTTTTGCGGTGGGTGAGCTCGTGGCGAGGGGATCCCTTCTCAGGCCCTGAACCGAAAAAGTATTTCCAAGGGGAGTTGGATAAAATATCCTGCCTGAGGCCACTTTAGGACATTGTAAGGCTGGGAAGATCAGGCACAAACTGGTTTTGCTCCTTTTTTCTTTTCTTCCTCCAATATCCAGCTTCCCAGCAGGGCAGGAGAGGCGGGGAGGCCGGATAAGAAAGGGAGGCTGAGATTGGATTGGGCTGGGGATGCTTGGGCAAGGCCTCCGCTGCAAATCAGCGAAACTTTATTAATCAGGTCAAAGCCAGTTACTCCATGCTGAGTCAGCGGAGCGGGGCGGGGGGGGGGGGGAACGACAGAGACAAGAGACGAGCTTAGGAAAACAAAAGGAGGAGGAGGAAGAGGAGGGGAGGGCAGAAATCTATATACCCCCCACCCCTCAAATCTCACCGCAAGAAGGAACCTCTCACAACCTACCAACGGGCTGGGCTCGGTGCCCAAACCCTCCG